AATACCACTGTTCTAACCTACATGAAATCATAGTCCATGATACGCTCAGTTTGTCAATAAATTCTCCGCATTTTATGGACCTCGAAGTTTATTACAGTTCTCACCACAGCCTGAAACCTGTCCCTATTCTGAGCCAGATTAATCCAATCAACATCCCCCGCGCCTGTTTCCTTTATCCTAATATCCTTCCCTCTGTACCTAGGTCTTGTGAGTTGTCTCTGTTCGAGAATTGGTTTTCTTTGCGGTTCGGCACTGCTCTGGTGCTGAGGCCACCGATCAAATTTACGTTTGTGCAGAGATTGGAAACCGCGAATGTTATAAAACATGTCGTGGTTGGTAAAAGGTGGATTCAGTTGGAAAACCGCTTCAAGCCCGCGGATGGCTACGGATTATTTTTTATTTCGAAAACACGCTCATTGTGTGGGATTAGCTCCTGGGTATACGCCGTTCGCCAGAGGGAGTTCCGTCTGGGGATTTGTGGTGGACAGTGTGGCAATGGAACGGATTTTTCCTCGGGAGTTTCTCGGCTTTTCCCAGTAAATATGTATAGACTGTTGATTTGTATTATGTAGAATGGAAAAATCCTCTGCCCCTGTCGGGGATCGAACCGAGGTCGTCCAGTCCGAAGCCAGTCACTGTACCGACTGAACCACTCTGGCTCCGTGGACATTTTATTAAGACTTAACAAACATTTTAAGGCAGGGTAGCGTAGCGGCAACGCTGTAGATTTATATTCGAGAGGCACCTTGTTCGAATCCCAACCGGGTTACCAGCTAACCTTATGGAGAGTTTTTGAGTTTTCCTCAGACGCTCCCAGACGAATTCTGGGGAAATAATATGATATGGGGTTCTTACACATGTCTGGACGGCGTGGCTTTGGACACGAATAACGGGGTTTTTAATAAATAAAGTCTCTTTGAATTAGGCAACGCCCACGAAAGACTGGCGTGTGCAAGTCTAGTTTTCCTTGGTAGCATCTGTCGGTCACATGAAAGGATGTGGAGATACGAAATAATTCATACACGTTTGTGCTTGGCCTTGGTCAGAATTAGGGCGAGTATGTGATGCATGCATCGTACAGAGAGGAGAGTGTGCCAATTAGTTTCGCCATGTCCGTCCGCCCGCCCGCCCGTCTCTGAGCGCGGTTTCGTGAAATTTGGTCTGAGGTTGGAAGTGTTTCGGTTTTCGTATGTCCGGTTGCATTGCACGTCGAGGAGACAGACTCTGTGGACCTAATCTACGTGCTCGTAGACGCTCGGTACTAACTTAAATTATAACTAACTAACTAACTAGATGGCTTACAGAACCCGAAGGTTCATCACCGAATTAACCAAAGCCCTCCACCGGACCCTGTCCTGGGCCAACAAAATCCAGTCTCCTTCAACTCCTATCTCCCATAGATCCCGCCTGAGATTATCCTCCCATCTACAT